TTTTTCCCTTTTAAATGTAGGGTCTGACTATGTAGCGCTGGCTGTCCTGGAATTGATACATAGTCTCTGCTGGCCTATGTATCAATGTATCCATGCTGGGACTCAGAGATACACCACCATACCTAACTCAAATATATGCTTGTTACATAAAATAGGCATCATTACAATCAACACTTTTTTTTTTGACAGGGTGAAATAAGTTTGTTTATTCCTGCAGTGTTAAAAAAAAATCCTGCTGTGAGGTTTGACAAAAGTCCTGGGGAGCATGCATCCTTCTGGTTGTGTTCAAGGCTGTCCGGATGTGTGAAGAAATGGTAGTCTGATCGTGAGAGGTCAGGCGAGCATGGTAGATGAGACAGAGCTTCGTTGCCCAACTGGTTCAACTTTTGAAGCATTGGCTTTCGTGATGAGTGGGGAAGCATTGCTGTGGTGAACTAGCCCTCTCTGCTTACCAAAGTCTGCCTTAGGCATTACAATCTGTGGTGTGTCTCATAGGTTTGAAAGGGCCTCCTCCGTGCCTTTTCCTTTCCTGCTGTCTTGAACCTGTGGAAACCTCTCCACACAAGAGCAAGAACCTCTAAAAAAGAGCCATGAGCCAGGTCCCTGAGGAAAGTCTGCCGTTTACCTGGATGGTAAACAAACATGGCTGCACTTTAGCTATATATTTTGAGTGGTTAGCTGAGGCATCTTAGCCATTCCACCCAATAATCTTGTTTTTAAAATTATGTATCATGCAGAAAGGTCTTCAAGAATACGCTTGTCAGGTTTGGGGAGCAACCTCGGAGCCTGCACCATTAGATACTTTCTTACTCCTTTTAAGGAAGAATTTCTATTGCCTATAAGGGAAGGGGGAAAATGCACAGCAAAACAGTGTGGGTACAAATTGTACTCGTAGAGGACCCTTCCTTGACTCCAGCAGTCAGTCATTGTTCCTACACTTTACCTGACACTTACATTGTGAAAATTAAACAGCCGAGTTAGGTAGGTCACTTAGTTGGGGCTTTTAAGATAAAAGCGCCTTCAGGGGCTGCCTTTTAGTTTTGTGGCAGAGCTCATCTCGGGTTTTCCCAGCCAGACTCATGTTGACATGTAAATTACCAAAAATGCGTGCAGCTGGGCATAATTAGGTTTCGAACTAGTCCTTCCAGCGTGCACTGTCAGGAAGCCCTTGTGGGCATGTGAGGCACCTGGGAGGTGAGTGGGGAAACGGGAAGGCCGTTGGGTGAGAGAAAGAACCAGTAAGTTGAGCGGGTAATCTCTTTTTTAAAAAAGACTTATTTTTATTTAATATGTGTGGTGTTTTGCCTGTAGGCCTGGTGCCCGCAGGGGCCAGAAGAGAGCGTCGGATCCCTTAGAACTGGAGTTATGGTTGTGAGCTACCATGTGGGTTAAACCCGGGTCTTCTGGAAGGCCAGCCTGTGCTCTGAATCACTGAGACAGTGATTAATTAATTAGCACTCCTCCAGAGTTGGTAATCTTAGAGTTCACATTTAGCGTGTATGGGAATCTGTTGAACTCCCTCCAGCAGCTGATTAGTGTCAGGGATTCAAATCCAGGATCTTACGAATGCTAAGCACAAGAGTTACAGCCTAGCCCTGTGCATTTAATGACCCAAATCCTCCCGTGAAGCGCTGTCTCCCTTCCTTGGAGGACTGCTGTAAGATGGCCAAATTCTTGTTAGGCCGTATGCAGGTCTACGGCTTCTTGTGCAGAAGGGACCTTTTTAGTTCTTTCTGTGAAGTTCATGTAAGGGAGTAGCGTACTGTCTCTTGTTTCTGTCTGGCTTTTCACAGTTTACACTGTGGTATCCTTGATTGGGTGTGAGTGTTTCCTGAGTTCTGTTACTTAATCTTATCCACTGGAACTTTAATGTCCTTGTTTTTCTGATTGGTCATAGGAAGATTTCTATGAGTTAAAGGTTTGGCAAGTAGTTCTGAAAAGTTAATATTAACATTATTATAACCTTTTGATTAGTCAGGGTTCTCTAGAGAAGCAGAACTTATAGAATGAATATATATTTGTGAATATATATTTATATAAAGGAGATTTATTAGAATGGCTTGCAGGCTGTGGTCCAGCTAGTCCAACAATGGTTGTCTACCAATAGAAGGTCCAAGAATCCAGTAGTTGTTCCGTCCATAATGCTGGCTGTCTCAGCTGGCCTTCAGTCTACACCGGAATCCTGAAGGAACGGATGCAAACTGAGTGCAAGCAGGCGAAGAGTGAGCTAAACTTTCCTTCCTTCCGTTGGCCTTATGTATGCTTCCAGCAGAAGGTATGGGCCAGATTAAAGGTGGGTCTTCCCACCTCAAAAGATCTGGATTAGAATTGGTTATCCCCCTCTGGGCGTGGTGGAACACAGCACACAGGGAGGCAGAGGCAGGCAGATCTTTGTGAATTCAAAAATTCACAATTGGAAAAAAATTTTGTTTGTGAATACTCAACTTTTTTTTTTTTTTTTACATTTACCTTGTGTGTGTGTGTGTGTGTGTGTGTGTGTGTGTGTGTGTGTGTGTGTGTGTGTGAGTGTGAGCACATGCATGCTGGGGTATGTGAAGAGGCTGGGAGTTGGTTCTCTCTACCTACCATGCATATTACAGATTTAGGTTGCCTGGCTTGGGGACAAGAGCCTTAAGCCCTTACTCTGTGAGCCACTTTGCCGAATCCACCCCCAAACTTTTTTATGTGTATGTGCAAGAGATGGAAGGTATCAGACTACCTTGAATTGGAGTTACCATGTGGGTGCTAGGAATTGAACACAGGTCCCTCTGTATGAGCAGCAAGTGCTCTTAACTGTTGAGCCATCTCTCCATGAGCCCCTACTCGTAAGCCTTTTTAAACAGCTGTTTAATAATTTGATAATTTTTCTGTTGGTTATTGAGCTGGTTGGTCATTTTGTCAGTTTGACACAAGCTAGAGTCATCTAGGAAGGAAGAATGCAATTAAAAATTGTCTTTCATTAGATTTGTAATTGTCTTCATTAGATAGGTAAGTCTTTCTTTTCTTTTTTCTTGTTACAGGGTCTCTCTATGTAGCCCTGGCTGGCCTAGAACTCCCTATGAAGACCAGGCTGGCTTGGGACTCACAGAGATCCACCAGCCTCTGCCTCCGCAGCACTAGGAATAAAGGCGTGTGCCACCATGCCCAGTAGTGGAGCCTTTTCTTTCTTGAATGATGATTGATGAGGAAGGAACCAGCTCACTGTGGCCGTTGCCCCTTCTGGACAGGTGGACCTGGGTTGTACGTGAGCAAGTCATGCAGAGCAAGCTAGTAAACAGTGTTCCTCCATGGTCTCTGCCGGAGCTCCTGTCTCCAGGTTCCCGTGTTGAGTTCCTACCGACTTCCTCAGTGACGGGGCGTGACCTGAGATGTGTATACTAAATCGACTCTTTCCTCCCCACGTGGATCTTGGTTACACTGTTTTCACAGCAACAGACAAGCAAACTAGAACAACTCTCAGTGTCTTCAGCGTGCTGTCATAGTCATCTTCCACTTGCCTGTAGTTTCTCCTATAGTTGACTAGATTACCTTTGGGGCCTTTTATAATTGCTTAACAGTTCAGTGATCTAAAGGTTCATACAAATTTTTAGCTGAGGTTCTTCTGAGAAAAGATTGTCTTTTGTTTTGCTTTCAATATCCATTTTTTGTTGGTGGTTAAGTCCGGCCTTCATGTCCCAGGTCACCGTGGCCTTACGATTTTATGTTTCGAGTTAACGCCTCTCATTCTTACATTCCCTCCAAGTTTTGCTTTGGAATGAGTTGGGTTGAAGCGGAAAGCTAACTGTATAGTTTAAATTCGTGATGAAATCTCACTGGTCATAACCCAGATCCTTAACCAACCTCTGCAAATGCTAAGATGTATGGTTTTCCCAGCACTCGGGAGGCAGGGACAGATGGATCTCTGTGAGTTTGAGGCCAGCCTGATTTACATAATGAGTTCCAGGACAGGAGCACTGTTACAGTGAGATCCTGTCTCGACAAAACAATTTAACAAAATCCCCAAATACCTTCCAGATGTCTGCTGTGGCTTTTGATTTCGGCACTTAGGTGTGCGGCCTTGAGCAGGTTCCCTCATCTCTATGGTAGGCATTATTTTAGTTGCCTCATTATTTTGAGTCTGAAATAAAAAATTTATGTTAAGCCTGTAAGTAACCAATAAGTGTTAGATATTCTCTCTCTTTACGTCCTCTGACTGATGTGTTATTATTATTTTGGGTCAAGTCTTGGAGCCTTGGCTGGCCTTGTCCTTGTTTATATAACCAAGGTGACAACCTTCCATCTTTCTGCCGTCACTCCCCAAGTGCTGGGATTATAGAGGAGTGCTGCTGTGGGCACTCCCCAGCTCCTTACTTTTAAAGAAGACATTAATTATGTATGTATGTATATGGTATATGTGCTCTTGTGCCTGAAGAGGGCAGGAGAGGGTACTGCATCTCCTGGAGCTGTAGTGATAGGCAGCCCAAATGAATACTGAGTACATGATTCAGGTCCTCTGAGAGAGGAGAAAGTGCTCTTAAGCCGCTGAGCCATCTCTCCAGCCTTAGCTCCTGGCCTTCTATTCTAGGGGGAAAAAAATTGAGAATTTGTTCTCTTGCAGTGCTGAGAATCACACCAGGGCCTTAAGAACTTCCACACATGCATTTTTGTCCTGAATTAACAGCACTTAACTTTCTTTATGTCCTTATGGGTTTTTAATTTTAATTCTACTTTATAATTCTGAGATGTGAGGTCTATTTGCTTGCTAATCAACTATTTGGTGATTCTTTGGTTAATAATGTCTCTAGATTTCATTGTCCAACATGCAGCTTCTGGAAAACGGTGTTCATAAAAGGGCTTGGTTCCTAACAAACGATTGACCTAACCTTGACATTCTGAATTGTTTGTGACAAAATGAGTATGCCATGTCACCATTTTGTCCCAAGTAATTACTTGTGTGGCCTAGGCCAGTAGAAGTTGGAAGGGTACGGACAGTTCATTTTGTTGGTCTTCAATTGTTGCAGGATGCCACCTAAAAGACTTTGGCGATCTGAGTTTTACTAAAGTCCCCAAAGATGATCCCTACAATAATCTGGTAGTGTATCCTCGCTCAGTGGGCCTTGCCAATCAGGAACTGGCGGATGTGGTCAGCAGAGCTGTGTCAGCTGGCTACAGTTGTGTCACCGTGGGAGGAGACCACAGGTAAGCCGGGCGCTGGGGTGCTCTGGGCTTAGTGATTAGCTTCTTTATTTCAGTGTCCATACTTGGAGAAAAATAGAGAATCGAAGAGACTATGCGTGCTCAATACAACAAACTCAGGTAGGCTTAGCAAGATCCTTGAGAAACTGTTTCAAGACATTTGTGCAGCCATTTTGGAGAACTCATAGGATCCATCCATGGACTGAATTTACACATTTTTATTAGCATTTCTACTAATTCATTTGTTAGTGATCCTCTTCCTGGGCATTTGAATGCATTTTTCTCTCTAGTCTGGACAGTCCTTTGAGTCTTTCTTAATGAATTGTTTTTTCAAGGGAGAAGAGAAAGCTCAACTGAGATCTATTAGGACTAAAATAAGTACGTGTAAAATGAAAAACTGAAAAATACTGAAGACTACAGAATCTCAGAGGGAAAAGCCTGGGCTAGTGTAGTCAGATTCCACCAGGGAGTGTGGTACAGCTGAGCAGTGAAAGTAGAAAGATACTGCAATACTAGTATCAAGCACTTTCTAATACTTCCGGTTAGTTGCTCCTTCTAACAACGTTATGAGGGAGATTCAGCTCTATCTCGTTTATTGCTGGAAGCTCTGAGGGACAGAGGTTAAACTTGTTCAAGGCCAGGAAGTAGCAGAGCCGGTGTCCAAATCCACTTTGCTTCTCGCTTTGACTGAGCCCAGCAGTTTCCCCCGAGGTGCTCAAGGAACTTCCTAGATAACAATCAGAAGCTAAACTTTGCTCCACGCAGAAGCAAGTAGATTCCTCATCAGGAATACAAACTCAGGAAGGATGAGAAACGGGTCAGACTCAGGTTCTCTAGAGACGACTGCGCATTCAATGGAATCAACCAGAGGAGAGGGCAGGTCTCTTGTCTCCTACCTCAGTCCCGTCTCTGAATGCTTATTCTTGTTTGTTTGCTTGTTTTTCTTCTGGTCAAGGCTCACTGGGGATGTCATCAGTTGTCATAGCCACAGCCCTTAGTTTTGTTTTGTTTTTTCTTTTTGTCTATAGCTATATATACTACAACCAGGTTACTTAACTTCAGTTCAAAGCTGACACTGAGGGTGTTATAGGAAGGAAGGAATGCAGTATTTGAATGACTGTTTTATTCAGTGGTGTACATGAGCTCAACAGGGGTTGTCCTGTCACTTTAACAGCCCCAGTTCTCATGTTTTAAGCAGTGTTACACAAACTTCTACAGCCTTCTGATTGTGTTGTGCTGGGAACTAAGCTTAGGACCTCACACACATTAAGGCAAATGCACACCGCTTAGCTACAGCTGCAAGTCTGCTTCCTAATTTCTGTCTTCAAAAAGTTAGTGCAAGTTGGATGTAGTGGCACATCCCTGTTGCCATGGCTACCTGGGAAGCTGAAGTGGGAGGACAGCCTGAGCTCCTTGGGGAGCAGCTTAGGCCACATGCAAGACTCCATCTCTACCAACCGACAAAACCCCTCTATTGTCCCAGATTCTTGGGAAGTTAGAATTAAAGGGACTAAGCAGCATTTCTGCAAGTTGTTATAGACAGGACCCCACTGCTTAACCAAATTTCATTCCCTGGACAAATGTTAATATTCAAGCTCCTTTTACAGGCTAGGACTAACAGACAAATTAACATGGAGCAGCAGTGAAATGTATCACCGTGCAGGGACAGCCAGTCACCAGCACTGCCTGCCAGCACCCCCACCCCGCCCCCAACTGTGAAACTTACTTTATGTATATGTGTGTTCTGCCTGCATGTATGTCTGTACACCACTTGAGTACAGTGTCCTCAGAGGCCAGAAGAGGGTGTTGGATCCTCTGGGACTGGAGCACTGACTCTTTAAAGCCTTCCTTTTTCTCCTGTCTAAAAGTTAATCCTGGGGAAGTACAACTAAGGGACTTTTGTCTCACTGTAACCAGCCTCAGGATGGACCCTGACTTTGCCCTGGGGACAGAGTGTAAGCAATGTTGGCTGAAGTTATCTGTTACCGGGCATGTTTGCCAAGCAGAGGGCCTTGAAGATTATTGTTATATTTGTTCTTTGCAGCCTGGCAATAGGCACCATTATCGGCCACGCCCGGCACCGCCCGGATCTCTGTGTCATCTGGGTTGATGCTCATGCTGACATTAACACACCCCTCACGACTGTATCTGGAAATATCCATGGACAGCCACTTTCCTTTCTTGTCAGAGAACTGCAAGACAAGGTAAGTGGGCCAAAATGAGGAGGTGAATGGCTTGCAGGGTTGTCCTGGGACTTTGAGAACTCTAAGCGAGATTTGGATGAAGGATGGGCTGAGTGTGCCTTACCTAACTTACATTATTAAGGGCCAGGCAGTCAGCAGGCGGCTAGGGCTACAAAGATAACTAGGTCTTTGTTCTCAGTGGGGCTCATAACCATTTAGGAAATTAAGTTTGTAGTAGTAGGTGACAGCCGTAGTGATGGAGACTTCCATAGCCCAAGGACTTAGGTCAGAGGCCCCATTCTAAAACACTGATTTAGATAGAGGCTAAGTGACCCTGTGCTTACCTTCAAATAAAATAATTCTGAGCTCTTCAAAAGCCAAGGGAGTCTTATTAGACAGGCAAGACTCTGTAGCTCTCTACTCGGCGAGAAGCCCAAGCTAAGCCAGGACAGATTAAAGACCCAGTCTGTGGTGAGCAAAGGTGTTGGGAAGGACGGACCAGCATATTCCTGCTACTTAACGAGGGACCAGGACCAGCTTAGAAGACATGTTTGTACAGCCTCAAGAAACCTGTATTATTTTGCCGTTGACTTCTGAATCCTTTCCACAGGACGGTTGTCCCTCCTAGCTTGTGTGCTTTGTGTCATTCTAAACATAGACAGTGGGCAGGAGAGGAAGGTGACGGAACACTCCTAGGAGCACATGCAATTATCTTAGCGAGGAGGAGGATTTCTGATCTGCTTCATTCCTCTCTGCACAGGTACCACAGCTGCCAGGATTTTCCTGGATCAAACCTTGCCTCTCTTCCCCAAGCATCGTGTATATCGGCCTAAGAGATGTGGACCCCCCTGAACGGTAAGGCGACACAGAAGGGTCAAGCTTTGGGCCTGTCCTGCCTGCTTGATGGTAGTTCAACATAAAGGCAAGATACCCTACATACACATTGGTCAAAACTGCTCTTAAAACTAGAGTCTTTCCTTTTACTTCACCAGTTTTATCTTGAAGAATTATGACATCCAGTATTTTTCCATGAGAGACATTGATCGACTTGGTATCCAGAAGGTCATGGAACAGACATTCGATCGGCTGATTGGAAAGTAAGTGATGAGAACACAGGTCTACTTCTGGGTCTCAGGGGGGAGATGGGGCAGACTCTGAGCACAGCACACTTAGGCCTTGAGCATAGTAATGTCACTTCTCAAATAGCAAAACATGGACATATATTTTTAAATAGTTCAGAAAGGCGGAATGTCAGTCATAAATTGTAGTCTTCGAGATTTGGGAATTCTGTCTGTTCTCGATTTTGCAAGTATCTTTCGATGAGAAGCGTTCATTCATTGTTCCAGTGGCCCTGTTCTTTTTAGCCTCATTTACTGCTTCATCTGAGTTCTGAATTAAGCGTAACACCGCATACCAGTTAGGATCATTTTCCAGACAGTGGGGCTCCTCTTCTGGGTGGTCAATGTTAGAACTGCCGCCTTGTCACTCTCCAAGCTGCTAGGAAGTTAGTTATTTGCTATGAGGACATTGATGTTAGTTTCAGCCATGGGCTACCTGCACTCATGTTAGAATTGGAAGATAAATTTGCAGGTGTAAAACTGGATTGCGTTCAGCTGCAACAACTACAACTTTGTTGATATAATGTTCTTGTGGAATGTATACAATTGCTGATTTCTCTCCCCCACTATCTGCTTTCAATCCGGACATTGTATTGTGATGCTTATTCTAGGGATCACCTGTATCAAATTTGTGTAAACATGCCACCATTTGTTCTCTTCATTGTCAATTAAAACAACGAGCCACAATGCTGAACAGTGGAGAGGATAGGGTGGGACATCCTGGTCCAGAGTGGGAGGGAAGGGGAAGGAAGCAGGAGAGGGAGGTGGAGAATCTGCAGGAGAGGTCTTGGAACCACGTGGAGAAATGAACCACGTGGCTAAGATATGACTCAAAGCAAATATAATGGGTGAAATCTGAATGGGAGGAAACTGTGGGATTGGAGATTTAGGATGGAATAACTATTGCCCAGCATTGTGCTCTAGGTTAATTAAATAAATCCCAGTCTCTGTGTGGTGATTTGGGTATACAGCTGGTTTAAGAATAACCATTGCTTAACTAAAAGATCTATCAATAGTAAATATTTTAACCCACAACATAACTTAAGGAAGCTAACTTAATTGGTACATTGTGGAAGTTTCCTGACTAGCGTAGAGAGGCTCTAATGCTGTGCTAACCCAGAAATGTGCACTGGCGTTTCTCTGAAGCATGTAGAACAAATGGCAATATCCTAGCGCCCTATGTAAGAAGTTAATATGCCATTCTCAGTCATTTCCAGGAACAGAAATCCAGACACACACTGAAACTAGAACAAAATCAGGTAATCAGGCCGTAGCCACAGAATGAAGGCTACAGCATAACCGATACACATTCTCCTGTCCTTTTCCTTTCTAGAAGACAGAGGCCAATCCACCTGAGTTTTGATATTGATGCTTTTGACCCTAAACTGGCTCCAGCTACAGGAACTCCTGTTGTAGGGGGTTTAACCTATAGGGAAGGAGTGTATATTACGGAAGAAATACATAATACAGGTACGTAGTAGCCAGGTCTTCGGCCTGTTAACTACATATATGAAACATGCTGAAATCTTTCTGCAAGGGATCTTTTCTGTGTCACTCTGTTTTTGGTTAAACTTTTATAACCCAGGATCATATGGTTAATTGAGGATATAGACAGATATTTAGAGGCATCTTTGAATCTGGAGTGTGCAAAAATATGCCAATACCAAGCAGGAAATGTCACTCACACACCTAGGAGATTTAACATACAGATTGTCAAACATGCAGTTCCTGTGTCTAAGCACCCTAAAGGGAAGAAAACAAGGCCAACTAGGTCATTTTCTCTAATTGTGAAGGGTTGTTGGTTCACAAGCCACTGGGAATTTGGAGTTAAACCTGCCCAATATCATTTTGGAGACAAGTCTCCTGTAGTAAAGGCTGACTCGAAACTCATATAGTCGAGGAGGGAATAACTTTGAATTCCATATCCTGCTTTTCATCTCCCAGGTGCTGAGATTACAGTCAGTGACACCATATCCAGATTTTAAAACCATCTTTTGAAAAAAAGTTTTCTTTTTTTTTTTAAATATGGTCACCTTCCAATGTCATTTCTCAGGTGCCATCCATTCCCCCCCCCCCCCCTTTGATCTCTTGTTTGGGCAGCCTGGCAAGCTCAGCCTCCTTGACACTGGAATTACAATCACATGGCATTATGCCTGGCGTTTTTATGTTGGTTTTGGGGACTGAGCTCAGGTCCTCATGCTTGGACAAGAGTACTCTACTGACTGAACTATCTCCCCAGACTCCATCTTGAAGACAGTTTAAATTACTATCTTTTTTAAATCTGGGATAAGCCTTCTATTGGAGCTTGTTTGTATTTTTAGTAGGAAGGATACTGTCAGAGGAATGACTGATAAAGGATTAAGGTGAATTCTAGATTATCAAGAGTGACTACCACATGTAATCACTTCATGAAACTGGGAGACAGAAGCAAAGGGAACCCCAGATTCAAAGGCTAAGGCCTATACAGAATCCTTTTTTGTTTTTCAGCAGGGTCTCACTTATGTATACCAGGCTGGCCTTTAACTCAGATCTGTAAGTATACCTCACAACTGACAAGGAACACTTTAGAAAGTATTTCTTGTGTGTGTATGTGTGCACACACATGGAAGTTAAGAGGACAACTTGCAATGGTTAACTTTCTTCTGCCATGTTGGTCCTGAGCCATCTCCCTAGCCATATAAGGAACCCTTAACTAGCTGGAAAAGAAATGGGGGTTGGGTCCTAGAGTCTGCTAGAACCTTAGGAGAGAACTGCCTATCAGATCTGCCTATAGGAAGACAGAATTTTTCTTAGACCCATCATCATAAATATTGCCAGTGGCCTTTCAGTGAACAGTGAACTCGGAAGCTCAACACTTCGTGTTGCTTCATTCGGGGGAGGGGGCTAATACCATTAGCAAGCAGGTGTGGCAGTGACGTGTCTTGTGTTTCCCTCCTGTCTTGTTGACATGACATTGTCAACAAAGACAGCAATTTACTTCAACTAACATGTAGGGTGGCAAGTCTGGAAACATAGGCAGTACACCTTTTTGATGGTGCAAAAAACCCCTCTTGATTACTACTTTAGAATATTCTAGAGATGCTGGGTTCAACCAGTGGGAACGAGACACAGATCACCAGGGTGTACACAAGTTCAGGTGCAGGAAACGATGACAATGTAATGTTAGCATCCTTGGTTACCATACAATATACTCAACCGTGCATCACTAAGAAGGTAGGAAACACTAGACAGTTTGTCATGTACCATAATGTAATGTCAATGAACCATTAGGTATTAAAATATACTTTATAGCTACCCTAAATATTCTTAAGCACTCGTGTTACTGAATTCTAGTTTGTTCAGATCACCCTTTAAGAGGTAGACTAACCCAGAGTAAACTGATTAAGTAGAAATCTCAAGGGAAGTAGGCCACATAGGGGGAGGATGGAAGTGGATAAGCTCTCTCCTTTCCCTCAGCCCACTCCACACACAGGAACAATGCTGAGGTCTTGGGCACAAACTCAAACCCTCAGAGAAGGCAACTGGAATCCAGACTGAACCAGTCAACATATGGTTGGATCTCTCTCTGACCAAATGCTAAGGGGCTGGGCCAGTCAGATAAGAGACAGAAATATAGTGTATGTAGAGCCTGTTCTTAGACAGGCTCTACAGTCATGAAAATGTGGGAGTAAATGCCATTCAGGAGGTTAAGGCAGGCCGACTGAGAGTTTGAGGCTAGCCTAGGATACATAGCAAGGCCTTGTCTCAGAATTAAAAAAAAAAAAAAAGTTTACAGTAGTAAGTGTCCTTCTGGGCATCTGGGGTAGTGCTGCAAGAGATACTGATGGTGAGACTTGGGAGATGGCTGAGTGTTGGGTAATGCAATTGCTGTACAAACATTAAGACCCGAGTTTGGATCCCCAGAGACAGCACATGCCTGAAATCTCAATGCTCCTGTGGCAAGACAGAGACAGGAGATTCCCAGAGGGCCAGCTATCCCGGCATGTGCAACTAACAGGAGACCCTGTGTCAAAGTAGAAATGAAGGCCCACATCCAAGGTTGTCTTTTGAGCTCCACATGCACACGGTGGCAGATGTACACACACACACACACACTCCGTGATAGGGACTGACTGCAGCTCAGCGGTAACGTATGTGCTTAGTATGCGTAAGACCCCAGGTTTAATCCATAGCAGTGGGTAGGAGGACAAAGGACCAATAAAACCCCCAGACAAGGTGCCTAAAAGCCTGACAGCTCTGCTTATTACAGTAGTTGAACAAGGGCAGGTTTTATAATTTTTCAGCCCTAATTTTTAAGTTTTAATTTAAACTTGTGGTCAAGAGGATGGGGTACAAAGGGCTTTCTTAAAATTGTGTGTGTGTGTGTATGTATGTATGTAAGAATGAGTGTTTTGCCTACATATAGATGTGTACACATGGTTGGTGCCCATGGAGATTAGAAGTAGGTGTTAGGTCTTTTGGAATTAAGAGCTATAAACACTATGAGCTGCCACGTGAGTGCTGGGAACTGAATGTTGGTCCTCTACCAAAGGAACAAGTGCTGAGCTAGCTTGTTAGCCCCTCATTTGTTGTTTTTTTTTCCAAGACAGGGTTTCTCTGTGTAGCCATGACTTCCTTGGAACTCCCTCTGGTTCTGCAGACCAGGCTGGCCTTGAACTCAGAGATCTGCCTGCCCCTGCATCCTGTGTGCTCGGATTAAAGATACACACCACTACTGGCTGGCTGTTTTTGTTTTTAAAGTTACTTTTGCTGTCACTTGTTTGTGGGCAGTGTGAGCACATGTGGTGGGTGGACAGCTTGCTGGGTTGGCTCTCTTAGCTTCATGTGGGGCCCAAGGACTGAATTCCAGGGTGTCAGGCTTAGCAGAGACACCTTTTACTAAGCCATCTTGCCAGGCTGCAGAGCGCTTTCTGACAGGAGGTAATTTTATGCTGGACAAACAACTTGTTTGTACCAGCTGAACAGCCGCCGCTGAAAGCAGCAGGCAGGGAACTATCTGAGATGCTCTACCTTTCCTTGTTTCAGGGTCGCTGAAAGCAGCAGGCAGGGAACTGTCTGAGATGTTCTACCTTTCCTTGTTTCAGGGTTGCTGTCAGCTCTGGATCTTGTTGAAGTCAATCCGCATTTGGCCACCTCAGAGGAAGGGGCCAAGGCCACAGCCAGCCTAGCAGTGGATGTGATTGCCTCAAGTTTTGGTCAGACAAGAGAAGGAGGACACATTGTCTATGACCACCTTCCTACTCCTAGTTCATCACACAAAAATGAAGAATGTGTGCGAATTTAGGAAATACTGTACACATTCACAGTGGCATTCCAAGTTGCAAGGCATTTAAGGGGACAGATACTGAATGGCTGTCTGGATCAATATTGCCTTAATGAGAACATCTATGAACTATCACAACTGTATAATTTCCCTTCTCTATTTTGATGACCAACACTACTACTGTAACTATATTTGTTTTGTTTTGTTTTTGAAGTTTACAAGATATTGTTATACATGTCAATTTGAAGGCGTCATAAACAGCATTTATTACCTTAGTATAACATACTGGTCTTGTTGCTGTCCCTTCACATTTATATGGTTTTCCATTGCCCTCCCTCCCATAGTCTGGCTATACAATGCATTCTTGAACTGTTAGCCCACAGCAGCAACATATGTCTTTAACACCGTTCATTCAGAGTCAAGATTCTGGTCCACAATCCCTTCCTCCAGGAAGTTCAATGGTGTCGAAAGAATTTGTAATACACCAGACCGACCAGGATGGCTAGCTCCAGCAAGATGATGATGGAAAGCAGCAGCTTGTTGGTTATCACTCTACAAAGACAAACAGTAAGTGGACACAAGTCTGGGTAACTTTATTTCTAGCAGTTTCTAATGCGGATCGCGTTTGTACTTGTCCACATAGCCACTTAGAAGTAAGCACTAAGTCCTTTGGTCAGTGACATTTCAGGTGCTATTCAGCTGTAACTGAGAAACAACACTGACTATATTACAGGTGGGAAACAGGAATATAAATACCAAAACATAAAAAACGGAGGGCGGGGGGTGAGACAGGGTTTCTCTGTATAGCCATACAGGCGTGCACCACCTAAACATGGCGTCTCGATTCTTAAAAAAAAAAAAAAGATATATATATATAATATATTATATATATATATATATATTTATTTATTTATTTATTTATTTATTTATTTAATCTTCCAGCCAGGTGTGGTAGTGCACATCTTTGATCCCAGCACTCAGGGGGGCAGAGGCCTATGGATTGCTATGAGTTCGAGGCCAGCCTAGCCTACAAAGTGAGTCCAGGACAGCCAAGGCTACACAGAGAAACTCTGTCTTGAAAAACACCAAAATCTTCCACTTGTATTTCTGATGCTTTAAATGTGGTCCTATTAGCTACACTTTGAGTGTACTAGAAGCAGGGTTTGGGGTACACGCTTTGGTTTCAAAGTTAATTAAGCTCATGGATGGGTCCTACTTTTAGGACATGTAACTAGTGGCCTGGTTTGGCCTCCCTTTGGCCTAGTTTTTGCTGCTTAATTCAAAGTTTTTTATTTTGTTTTGTTTCTTAAATTAGTGCACGTACAAATGTGCATACTGCCAGTGGCAGTCAGAGGACAACTTTGGAGATGGTTCTTACCCATCAACTCAGGGCGTCAGGCTCCTGCCATAACCACTTTTACGAACTGTTCTAGCTTACTTTAATACTTGTTGCTAACAAGACAGGACTCCTTCCACAAAAGGGAAGAACTATACACTACCAGTGTTCACAAACATATTCCAGGGAGTCTAAAAGCTCAATTAGTTTCTTAGGTCCCCTTAAAGAAATGGGGGTTAACAGTGCTCAGTGGACAGGTTTGCCAATGCTTTATTTTGGAAAAAATACATGACTTTAACAAAGGAGTTTATCTTGAGCTATTCAACTATACAAAACTATCCTTTGGATGGTGAGTAGAGTGTACTTGTATAACACTAAGAGAATTTACTAGGAGGCTTAAGTTTTCTTAGTTGAAATACATTAAATGTCAAGAAATTGTGGGGTTTTTGTAACTTACTTTCTGGACATTGAACGGAGAATCTTTCGGCTTTTGCTCAAGTTTTCATTTGTGTTTACCAGCTGAAAGAGAAAATAATCATTTTCTTCTTTCAAAAACTTCTGTAGAATTTGAACATTGGTCATTCAATGGTCTTTTTTTAGAAATGCAAAGAAAAGAAATCAAATGAATTTAATGGTGACTATCTAAGTATAAGTAAAGGAACTTAGAAAGGTCAAGGTGTTGGGTGTTCATTAGGGAGGAAATCACTACTTTTCATTGTTCCTGTGGGGGCCGGTGGCTGTGAGGGAGCTAATCCTTCACATGGGCTATTCAAACAGGAAGGCTACAGGCTTGTTCACAGGTGTGATGGTGCACACCTTTAATCCTAGCACTCTTGGGAAGCAGGCTCTGCGTCTTGAAGCCAGCCTGGTCTACAGAGTGAGTTCCAAGACAGCCGGAGCTATGAGACCCAGTCTTAGGAAAATAAAAAGGAAAACAGTAACAAAAAAAAAAAAAAAAAAAAAAAAAAAACACACAAACACACACACAAAGAATAGTGCCACGGTTTCTGACTGCTAAATAGAAAGACTTGACCTGTACCTAACCAGTGACTGTAGGGCAACTTAAGCAAACACCAATTCAAGAGGCTCTCCTCGTAGTTTCTCATCCTGTCAATTTCATTGACAGATGAAATTCAAAAGTATTTTTTAAGGACTTATTTTTAGTTTATGTATATGAGTATTTGCATGTACGCACACCATGTGAATATCTGCTGCCTACAAGTCAAAAGAGGTCATCAGACCCCTTGGAACTGGACAGAGTTGTGTTCTGCCAAGTGGCTGCTAGGAACTGAATCTGGGTCCTCTATAAGAACAGTAAGTGCTGTTCTGCAGTCCTTAGTATTTTTGTAGGCTGGTGCTAGTCCTTTTGTAGGTTAATGCTTTAGGGATCTTGGTTATTTTTCTTTCTTTACTTATTTGAGTAATTACACTGAATGGAGAAAGGATTTAGCACCACTGTACCTTTTCCATTTGATTACCTGTTACTAATCTGGTTAGCAGAAGGACATTTCAATGGTGCTCCTATCTAGTACCCTCCCTCAGGTCAAGCTTCAGTGTTTATATTCAAGTATACTTCAAGTATACTCAAGACCTAAAACTTAGACAATCCATTAGGAATTTTCCTTTCCCATAGCTTGCTATAAAATTAGCACTTTATTGTGAATTTGCACAAAATGGGAAAATGAGGGAGGACGGAATTCCTTTAATAAGATATATAAATGGGGAGCTGGAGAGATGGCTCAGTGGTTAAGAACACTGGCTGCTCTTCCTGAGGTCCTGAGTTCAATTCCCAGCAACCACATGGTGGCTCACAACCATCTGATGCCCTCTTCTGGCATGGAGGTGTACATGCAGATAGAGCCTCAAAAAAATCTTAAAGAAATATAAGAAAAATCTCTTCAAATCTCCACAGTAAGCTAGTATTTTCCTGTCCAATGTTAAGATTTGCCTCAGGACAAATACTAAGAATATAACATTCGGGGCTGAAGAGATGGCTCAGCAGTTAAGAGCACTGACTGACTGCTCTTTCACGGAGTTCAATTCCAAGTACCTGCATGGCAGTGCATAACTGTAATTACAAGACCTTCACACAGACATACATGCAGGCTAAACACCTATACATAAACACACACACACATATATATATATATATTATTCTTTAAATTTGGTGTAAACTAACCCATTTATGTAAAGGAAAAGGGAATTCTTTTCCAAAGCTACTTACAGTCATCAGTTGACTTGCATATTTCTGCTTTCTTCCTCAATGGTCCAACTTACCTTAGGCTAATGAGATTGAAATATAATTTATAAGCCAATAAACAATCAGCTGTACTATTTTTGACAGGTGAGAAAAAAAGAGCCTTTGCTTTTAATAATAGGTCTTTTGTATAAACAGTGTTTTCATAAGAATAGGAAAATGGCCAGAGAGATGGCTCAGTGGTGAAGAGCACACTGTCTGCTCTTCCAGAGGACCTGGGTTCAATTCTTGGCTCCCACACAACAGCTCACAACTATCTGTACCTCCAGTTCCAGATAGTCTGACACTCTCACACCAATGCACATAACATAAATGACTGAAAGAAAAAAAAGGAAAATCTCACCTTTAAACCCAGCACTTGGGAGGCAGTGGCAGGCAGATCTCTGAGTTTGAGGCCAGCATGGTCTACAGAGAGTTCTAGGACTGCCAGGGCTAAAACAGAGAAACCCAGTCTCAAAAAACCAAAAAAAAAAAAACAATAAAACTGGGCTGGAAAGGTGGCACAATGGTTAAAAGCATTTGCTGCTTGTCCAGAAGACCCAGGTTTGATGCCAGGACCTGTATGGCAGCTCACAACCATCTAATTCCAATTCCCGGGAATCTGACGCTCTCTTCTGGCTTCCTCGGGCAACAGGCCCACGTGGCCCATGTCTCATATATGTACAGAGACATATATGAAGACAACACATAAAATTTTTTTTTCATTTTTTAGGATTCATTTATATACGTGCTCTATCTGCATGTACACCTGATGCCCAGAAGAGGGCATCGGATCACAGATGGTTGTGATGCCTCCTGTGGTTGCTGGAAATTAAACTCAGGACCTCTGAAAGAGCAGTGTTCTTAACCACTGAGCCATCTCCACAGTCCTCCCCAACCAAATTTTTTTTTTTTTTTTAAGAATAGAAAAATATGCGACTAGATCTGAATTAAAATCTCATGATGGTGCTAGGGGATCTTTGCTTGTGTTTCACATTCTCTTGTAATGAATAAAGTAAGAGATGGAGTGGCATAAATCAGACTCTTCAGAAGCAAAACTAATGACTTCTAAATCTTACGGATAAAATTACCTCTTTGTGGCCCAGCATGGTAGCATACAACTTTAATCCCAGGAGGCAGGGGCAAGAGGACCACCAACTTCCAGGCCAGCAGTCAGGTCTAAGCAGTGAGACTTAGTCACAAGTATATACATACACATATGTACGTATCTATGTATGTGTGTGTGTGTTGTATGTGTATCTGTGTGGGTATGGAGGACTGCTCTCCACCTTTCTAAGAAAGGGTCTTCCAATGAATCTGGCCACACTGGCTGGCCAACACACTCCAAAGATCTCACTGTTTCTAATCCTCGTCCCCCAACTCTGGGGTTGCAAATGTATGCGCATCTACACTGACTTTTATTGACTGGCCCATCTCCTTAGCCCTGTAAAATTAAGCCTAAGGTGGAATCTCTTAGCCAAGCAATTTAAAAACTGAGAAGTGTGTGTAAGAGAGAGAGAGAAAGAGAGAAGGTTCTTCCCAGAATTCAGAGCTGCTGTCGTGTCTGGCCTTGGTATGGCACCTGGGTATGAGGATCCACTACTCTACACATTGCCCAGACTTACTCTATTCTTGGTACGTTCCAACTGGTCTCGTTGCTCCCCCAGCTCTTCTATGATTTCTGAACCAATCTGGTCAGTTTCTGTGGC